GGACTGTTGTAGCCCAATAGCCTCATTACTACTAGGGGTCATTTTTCATGCATTGCTACGTAGAGTGTCTGTTATTTTGAATAATGTGGCGATCAACTGAAGAGGTCTTTTGACGAAACTAGTTTTGTGAATCGCTATATAAATTTAAAAGTATGTTGAAAGTGGAAACAAATTAGTTTTTTTTCTTCTTGTTTACTGAAACAATGTTAAGTAACACTTTCTTCGCTTCGGCAAACAATATTTCACAGAATTGATCCGAGTTTGTGTTTCAGTTTAATTTATGTGATTAAGTTGGCAAATTACGGGTTCATGATGGACAGAATCTCATCAATCCCGGCAGACTAACATTTTGGGGAACTGAAAATCCACTGCTAATTTCAGTATTCACCTATTACTCTTTCCAGATAAAACTTTCCTCCTTCTGGGAAGTTAGCCAGCCGAAATTCCATATATGAAAGAATGACGATAAAGTGGGCAACAAAACTAACAAAGAGAGCAAGAAAGAAGGAAATAGGAGACGTCTGCCTCGCGCACGCCCTTTCTTTCTTTCACCCACTACTTCCAAGCGCTTGCTACGCAGGGTAGTGACGTCACACTGGCAGTGATGAATCGGTCACAGACAAACACATGAAAACAATAGAGATGGCCCCTCCCTCCGGGTCATTCCTTTTTCAACATTTCACTAAAAAAAACCTATCTAAATAGCTTCAAAAAGAATATTTTTGACAAAAAGATATGGGTGGTTTTCGCTCCATCACTTCCCTACCCCACAGTACTTTTTGCATCCGTCTAAGAAATTGCTCCCGGCCGTCGTGATCAGCTTGCGCATGGAGGAAAAACAATCAATGTATCGTTTGAAGAGTTAAAAGGAAAAGACACTTTCTTTTCGCATGAATAGTCAAGGCAGAGAGGCCTAGAAAAACTCTGCGAGATATTTGAAAGCTAATATAAACTTCGCGTATTGTACGATCAATACGACAATCTGACAATCTGGTTAATGCGACAATTCATGCAACGGTTCCATCGTGATGAAAAAATAATCATGTAAAGCGCGTCGGTTGTTTGTTAATATACTATACTAAGCATCTTCGAAAATAAGAAAGGTATTATTTAGACTTTAATTATTGTTGGTTTTCACATGACGTCACCAAAATTCAGATTAAAAAACTATCGATCCTACCGAGATTTTACTTTCACGATGCATTAGAGCAGCTGAAAACTAATTTTCAAACAAATTTTCTCTTCAAAAGGGTTTTTGGTTTCGTGATAGAGTACGCTTGAATTTCTAAGCTTTTGCTTGACGCGGCATTTTCATGATGGCCAAGTGAGCTGTCATGTGGGTCAAAAAAGTGACTTATTTCAGGAAATTTTGCTATCTAAACTGTTCGTGCATTAGAAAAAGTATTGCTTTAATGTTTATGAGTTTCTCGAAGAATAAATTCACGCTTTTGTAGTAAAACTCGGTAACAGATGTTTCTGTTGGTTTCCGTCCGCCATGTTGGAGCTCATCCAGGTGAGCACCAGCATGACGTCTCTATACAAATCTCTATAAGTTTGGGTAAAACAATTCTTCGGATATCTCGAATACGAAATATTCTCCTGACCTGAATCTTGGCGAGGGTCTTTGTATATATACCTCCTTTCATTTCCTAGATTCTGGACTTTATCTATTGAACGGTTTTGATTTTTATTTTGATCTATTTTGAATGGCGTGACACTGAAAACCAGCAATAGTCTATCATTGAGATTAATCGGATCAATGTAATGTTTTTTGCAATAATTACTGAACTAGCGGCTAGGAGCGATCTGCGTAGGGTGCCTCACTCGCTAGTTTGATCAGATTATTACAGATTTCCTATAAATATGGTATTTGCAGCTTATTTACTGGAAACTGCAATTTTGGTGTTGTCCCGGGTGGGCCATTTGCACCCTATTTTCAATCCACACCGTGGGGTTTTGGTATAAACGCCCGGCCCCACCATGGGGCATTTGTAGCTTTTCCAAAACAAAATGACAAATGCCCGACAAATACCCGAAGGGAAATGTGCACGCTTGGAATTGACTGAGCCATACTTCTGTGTCCTGCTTTTGTGCGGTCGTCGCGAGTCAAACAAATTCGCCGATCAAATTCGGATCGAGCTGCCGGAGTTGAGAAAACACGCATAATCAAGCATAGTATGGTGACTGATACACAAGCAAGGAGAATAATCGCAGTCTCAAATATTGATCAGGTAATTTTTTTTGTTAATTATGTTAACGCATTGTTTCTTTCCGGCCACAATACAGCTAGCAAAATGCAACGTTCGTATGACTCGAGATACAATCGACCTTGCTAAGCCACTCTCCAACAAAATACTTTGTTCGACCCCGGTTGTGACACGAAACTTGTGTCTTCCTGTGCCTCGTTCAATCCATTGGATATATAAAAAAAAGGCATTAAGGCATTCGTGTACCGCTCCCACGGATTGCACTAATTCCACTAGCGAGGATTCAGACATGGTCGTACAAAGGTTACCATGGCTCGAGAAAAACAGAAAAAATTCTTTGAAAATGTTATAAATGGATTGTGTTTGGCCTATACCTAAAATAATTAAAGGAAAATAAAACTAAAAAAGATGAACAAGAACTGAATTGCAGTACAGTCGAACCTCTCCAATACGGACACCTCTATTACGGACAGTTTCCATTGTCCCGACAAAATTCCCATATATTTTCATTAAAAAAAATCTCTATAATACGGACTCTCTCTCTTACACGGACTAAACGGACACTAAATCTCGGCTCCAGGGAGTAGATTCAAATAAACTTAACCTCTTTATTGCGGACACTGCGGTGATCAGGTAAATCCCGAATCCCGATCAGGTGAATCTGCACAGGGAAAATCCCGACTAGTCTGATGAGACAGGCAGGGTGATAAAAAGCCCAGTCGCTGTGAAACAACGATTTGTGAAAGGTGTACAGAGGAGCATAACCGACTTTTTGAAGGCTTCAATCAGTGTTCAATAACCACAGATAGCATAAAGATCTTTTCTATCACATTTTGTACTCTAGTTACTGTTTACTGCACTTGCAAAATAGCGAAAGAAGCTTTCAGAATTGTGCTTTACGTTACAACTTTTTACATGCAGCTTTGCGCTGTAGCTTGTTTCGTTTTAAAACAGTGATTTGTCTATATCTGAGATGTACAATGTTGCATGCTACTGAAAGACAGTGTCTTTGTACTGTGAATTAACAACTTTAAATGCAGCTAGTTTAAAGACGAGTGTGAGCCTGGTTTTAGCTACTGAACGCTTAATACTGTAAGTGGAGTCATTAAAGTGACGTCATCCTAGTGACCTCTTTTCACGGACACCTCTCTAATACGGACCCTTCGCTCTGTCCCTTCGGTGTCCGTATTAGTCGGGTTCGACTGTAATTGTGTCGGACTAAGGATTGGAGAAGGTCGACCATGGTTTGGCGTGGCCTTAACTCAATGCATTTCTAATTCGAAAAAATAAAATTGTTATGTGCTGTTATGTGCTTTCACTGACTTAGTAAAAAGCAGTAATTTACTTTGTTACCATTATGGTTGGCAATATACCATGGTCAAGGGCTGATAACACACATAGTCACACACCACGGTCGAACCATGGCCGACCATGTTCAAACATGGTCGGCGTTCAAAAACTATGGTACCATGGTCAACGTCTTGCCGGGGTGAGCCGCCCCGCTGTCGGTGTGAAATCACAGGCGGCCCAAGCTCAATATGAGAGTACTTGTGGTTGCGTAATTTTCAAAATAACCCTCATTGTAGAGGATTTGTATGGCAATTCAGGTAATAGATTCGAGAAGATAAATACTCGCATGAATTTTCAATAAAATACGCTTTGCCTTATTTACTTGGTGTCTTCTTGCCTCTTGTGTGGTTATTTTCCCGATCCGTTGCGATTTAAGCGATTTCCGTTATCCCGAGTTTTCACTAATAAAGAGAGGACAAGGCCAAACACACGCATCTTAGCTCCCTAGCCAAGCAATCGCGTCCCTGCGAGCGAAGCGAAACGGCAGTTTGTTTCCCCGATTAAACGGTCCAACGCTGGTAGAATTCCGCGTCCAAAACCAACACGACAAGTACGATGATCGTTAAAATCGGCTTGGTAACCACGCCACGTTGCCAAACAAAGATTCATCGGGTACACTTTATTTTTCCGATCCGTTGCGATTTAAACGATTTCCTTTATCTTGGGTTTCCACAAAGAAAGAAAATTGTTATGGCAACAAACAATAGCGGATTGAATTCAAACTTTTTACAGTGAAGAGCGAAGGGAAAGAAGGGAGGGAGTGAGAATTAACAGGCCATGCAAAGCTAGCGAAGAGGATTCGTGTGGAAAATTTATGCAGCATCTGGAAACTTGTTTACCGATATCTGAAGCTGACAGAGTTTTGTGTCATCTTATTATGTTTTAACCGCCTTTTCACACTGGATCCACAAAATAAAATACAGCTGCTATCAACGGATTCTTTTGTTATTCGTAGCTGGCTTGTTTATTGGGTTGCGCCGCTTGACAAAAAGTAATCGGGAATCATCGTTTTCAAAATTAAGCTTACTTCACCTTGCTGGATGCGTAAGCAGTCCAGGATCGTTATCAAATTTTATAACCATGTGACGTCACAACATGGTGGCCATTTCAAAAGCCGGGAATTTTCGTACTCGCCTTTCTTTATCCGAGATTTTGTCCGATCCTATTCGGTGTAAACTCGTCAGGTACCAATGGTTCTGTTCGAATCATTGTTTTTACTGATTACAGAGAGATACGACTAAATCGTATTGAAACAGTAAGTAGAAACAATATACGTGCAAATGTGTGCAAATGGTCAAGATTTTAACGGCCCGTAGTAGCTTTTAACGATCGTTAAAAAAGCTGAATAACAGCGTCTAAAATTTGCATATTTTAGCCGGTAACGATCAGCATTTCAGAGATGAAATGCTGAGAATGGCAGTAAAATAAACTATTTCGTCATTCTAACTGCAATTTAGTTATAAGGATGGATAGTGGTATTGATGATATAAATATAAGGCAAAAGTGTTTTCGAGTCTGAAATGGAGTGGAACGCTTTTAGGGACATTGCCTCTCAAATGCGGACGTAACCACCCAAACTGCTCGGTAAACGAACTTTATCGAACTCAATCGAACCTAATCGAACCAGTCAGTATAAAACACGGACTTTGGACTGTTTATAAATCACGGACTACAATCACAGACAAAAGTAGTTGGAAAGGTCTTGTACAACTTAATAGTAGTCCATTTTAATCCTGAAAAAAGAGAGTTTTCTCTTTCGCTAAATATCCCCCGTCCCCCCTATTCAATGTTGGGATATAACAGAACAATTAGGTGCACAAACATTAACGTTTTTATCAACATTGGGCCAGGGGCAGGGGGAGGAAGGAAAAGAAGAGGTAAAAAAGGCAACCTTCCCAACACTTTGAACGATGATTGTAGGAGAATAGGAAATCAACTTTAAACCCTTATAAAAATTGTTGCATTTAACATTTGATTGAGATATCTCGCCCTGGAACTGTGCTGATAATGCACTATCCAAACTCAAAAGACTATAAAGGGGACAGAGAGGACATCCCCCATATACACCTTATTCCATAGGTAATTCGTCTCGAGTTATTTTTAGAATCGGGATAAAGTTACCTCGCGCGAGGCGTGGATGTTTCGTGGAGGTTTCGCATGACCAAACGCCGTGCAAAACATGTCGGGCGAGAGGCAATGAAAGCGTAAAAAGATCGAGAGCATTCCTGAATATTGAAGCGAAATGAGTCGGCGCTCACCTGGGAAAAAGGAATCGCTGGACTCTTTGACAACCCGTGAAATCAGTTTAACTCGAAGTTGTCGTAACCTCAGTGCTTTAATAAAATGAGAAATTTTCGCCGGTCTATTGAAACTGGTCGTTTGTACAATTTAGGGAGTTTAAGATCCAACGACGCGGACGACAACTAGAACGTCAAAAAAAACAATAGGTTTAATTAGCAAAACAACAACTTCGCACGTGCAACACACTTTTTTTGTTCATTTCTTTCCCGTTTTTGCACGACTACGACGTGAAAATGCCTAATTTCGCGTTTTATGGAGGACGTAAATAAGCAACGACGAAATTTTATTTCTCTTTCTGAGCTTGAATATGGTCCCTTGAAATTCAGCTTTAGGAGGGTTCGCCTACAATTGACAAAGTAAGTCGGTAGGAATAATCGCTATAAAGACTGAAAAAAAATAAACATCAAACCAGAAATTGCTCTCTTCAAACTGTAAATTATAAAAGATCCTGAGAGAATATTCAGTGTGTTAAGGATTTCCCTGCTCTACTGTTAGCTCTATACAAAGGAGGAAGGGCGATTCTTTTTTAATTTCGGTTTCGCTGACACAGCTTTCGCAGAAATCGCTCTGTAGTCGTTTTCTTCGACAAAAGGAATAGCAAAATCGCTCTCCGCGTCTTCCCCCATTTTGTTCTGCGTCATTTCGTGAAGGACGCGTGGCTCTCAGCGTGGGTCATCCACGCGGAACACATTCGCGCTATGTGATTGGCTGTTGTCTAATCCCCCTTGAGATCTGTGGTGTTTAAAATAACTCGAGACGAATTACCTATGGAATAGGGTGTATATGGGGGATGCCCTCTCTGTCCCCTTTATAGTCTCTTGCCAAACTATATAAAAAAAATAATAAAGGTTATATTTCGGTAAAATCATAAATAGGAGAATTTTGCATCTGATGTGCGTGACATTTCATAGCGTAACCACAAGATCCACTGGGTGAAAACGCTTTCTTTTAAGAACGTCAGAAGAAAACATTTAAGGCATTTAATTTTCCTCATGAAGCAAGAAGACGTTTTCTTTGCGTGGACTATGTAGAAAGAATGGCCACAGGTGGTCTGTTTCACTAGATTTAACGAAAAGTCATGAGGGTATTTTTAAGTTAAAAAATGCTATACGATTGCTGTCGTTGTCATGTATACATGCATCTTTTTCATCAGCGGCATTATTCCTGGTTAACTTTTGCCGTTTCCTATCAGCGAAATATTTTGAAAGATGTTACAAAAAGAAATTCATTCATTCCGGCGGTGTTATTAAACTATCCTAGAAAAACGTGATGTTTGTAGTTGCGAGGGAGGAGCGAGATAAGTGCCGAATTAAAATCTTCTAGACTGTATTTTTGTAAGGCCTGAAAATGATAGGGAACCTCTATAAAAGAAATTATTCAGCCATGTTCAGCGTTCATATAGAAATTGCTGTGCTAGCGTCGCCTGCCAATCATTCAGTTAATTTGAGAACAGTAAACAACATGGGTTTCCGCAAACTCCATTACATTACTCCATAAGAAAATGCGAAATATATGCACAATGAACCAACTTTCAAACAAGAAAAGGGCAAAAACAGGTAAACCATGTAAGAATATGGACAGCTTTTGTCGCATTTATCTACGGGAATAAATTTAACAACTGTTTCCCAACATTACTCCATTTAAACAGTGCCCTTTAAAGGTCAGTTGGCAAAGTTAGTTTAATTTTAACGCTATCCATGGAGTAATGTCGTATTTTACTTAGAATTAAGCTAAAATGTCTATTAAAATTCGTTTGGTTAAGTCCTTGCAAAGCCCCGAACAAGTCAATTAGGCTATTTTGCTCGTTAGCGCTACTATAAAGGAGTTATTTTCGGCTACAAAAATGTGGAGTAATGTGGTGTGTGATGACTTTGCATGTGTTACCCTTTTTACTTAGATTAACGAAGACACTAGACGCCTTATTCTAAATCAAGAGCGTACTTTGTTCTCGTTTTCTGAAACCAGTTGCGAAAAGCAGTGACACGAGGGCTTAACTAGAGTTATTCAGCCGGAGAAAGTGGCCTCTAGAATTCGGCAAATCTCCACTCAGCCTCATAGTTTGCTCGCGTGGCAAATTGGCATGTGCTGAATGTTGTAAAGAATGGGGAAGCTGCTATATAAAGAATATGTCAGCTGCAATGTCGCGATCCGAATGATTTTTTGGGGAACTGGCGAACGCACTATATCTTGCTTTAACATTTGGAGCATATCAGCCTATGCTATAGTCAATAGCTTTCACAGAAAATAATCTTACATTTGTATTTTGGCCCTCTTCCTGTGCCCCGGAAAGAGCAATAGTTGTACTTGCCGGATTGCAAAACATGCCGAATATAAACAGACGTGTGCACCAAAAACTGTCTTAACAAGATATGGCAAATATTTTTTTCAACAGAGTACTGTCTACGTGTGTTTTTTGAAGACGTTTCTACTGACAAAAAAGTCGTCGATTTTTTGACCTTTTACGGCCACACCCAGAATTTTCATACAATCACAGACAAAAGTAGTTGGGATGGTCTTGTACAACTTAACAGTAGTCCATTTGCAGACTAGAAACTATGGAGAGAGTATAAAACACGGACTACCGACTCTGTATGTAAAAACAGCATTTAGTTGCGGGCGAAGTAGGTGAAGCAACAACTGCAAAGGTCCGTCACCGGCGGGAAGAATAAAAGAGAACAGAACCCTGTAACATCTCGTCTATTTGCTTATCAAGTGCCCCCCCCCCCCCCCCTTTCACGCTCTCAAAATTTGCAAAGACGTCTTTTTTTAAATTTTAAAATAGGTGACAGTGCACCCTTTAGTCAAAAAACTTACCATAAGGACATGACCCTGCTGTCAAGGAGAAGTCGTCAATTGCTATGTCACCAGTGTAACTGCTTCCCACTACGCCTTCAAATGTTACCTGTCAAAGGTGCAATCAGTCCGGAAGAGTCGCTGTTGTTATTAATGTCTCTAAATTAATGAAAAATTATCTTCGAAGTTGTCAAAAAACTACAAACGTAACAATAGAAATAAGGAAATGTCGGCTAATAGCAAACTGGCAGATCCTTTTGGAAACACCAAGCGCATCATATTTTGCACTACATTTACGGACTTACTTGCACCACTATGAGTAAGAAAGAATAATCTTGCTATGACTAAATAATGTTACCAAATGGTAAATCACTTATCTGTGCTTAATTTATAATTAATGGTAAAGATGAAGTATTATAACGGATGCAGTCTAGTTGACTTTTTTAGTTTTCATTACAGACAGAAGCGTACAGAAATTTATGACTAAAGTAAGATTCGGAGCAATGTGAATTAGTAAAGTAAAGATTCGGAGCAATGAGTTAGTAAAAGAACATAGACTCGAGAACCGAAAGACGTCTTCTGGATCGGTGGACCTGTGCACTCTTCAGACCAGAAAAGCCTTTTTATTGAAGGTGCTTTCAGTGAAACTGAAATTACTACAACCTAAGGATCGCAGATAGGAATCTACGTTCACTTGTTTATATAAATTTAACTAAATAACAGCAAATAATGGCCAGCATCGGTGAAAACTATCAGTTGTAACATACTTTCAACGGTGAGCACAAGTTCAGAACCCAATATTAAAAATTTCCCGGACCCGCTGCTATACTTTAATGGCAATTAAATTAACAAAAAAAGTGAGCTATCGGTGGCTTATGGCTCCCAACCCGGTTGGCTTCCCCATTTACCGCTCTCAGAGAACAGCGTTTTACCACCATTGATGGGGTCATTAAAGTTTAAATTCTAATTTTACTTCCAATATTTTCATTATCCTAATTCATTGTTAAGTAATGAGTTGATAAAAATAAAGATTCGGTTGTTGTTATTGTTGTTGAATTAGAAGAGACACAAAAATAACGCATGGCTTACCCTATGCAATCCCTCGATAGCTGATACATTTACGCTGGCTTTACGCCACATGTACATGCCTCCTTTATCACCACGTGCAGAGAACACTAAGTTCCCACTTACGTTGACTTTCAGGCTTTCATTAGTTGCACCAGACATATGGTAATAGAACTGAAGGCACATATTCCCAAAGAATTTCATTAGAGGACTGTACAAAATTGCGTTATCACCTGGTTGTCTTGGACTGGATGCTTCTATATACATGTAATAACCTGATAGGGATGAAGATGGTTAGAGAGTAGCAACTTAGTCTTTTTCGGTAGAGGACGGTCCAATTTTGCCATATCATCCAGCTCTCCCGTGGACTAAATATTTCTAAAAATACATGTAATAACCTACAAAGAGGAAAAGATGTAAGGAAGGCAACAAGAAAAAAAATTGACCAGAAGGCACTGAAAAAGTATCCAGTTGGCTTAAAACAGTATTCTAACAACGTTAGTTCAGCTTAAATGACGTAGAATGATCATCTGAAGTACCTATTAGTAAGTTCCCAAGTTTCCTTTTATTCGTTTTATTTTTTTCTTTGAAGACAGACGTATTATTCATGGTAGAATAAGAGGGCAAATGACAACAAAGCCCAGGATGTAAAGAGTAACTGCAACCTTGTAGTTACACCGATCTGAAGAGGCAGTCGAAATTAGATACTCTCGCCTACATTTAATACACCTGTGCAACAAAAAAACAAACAAAAACGAGCAGTTTAAAGGGGCTATGTCACTCCTGACGCATGCGCGAGTCAATGAAAACAAACTTGAAAAAGTCGGGCCGACTTTTTCAAGTTCTGTCGGAGATTTTGGAAGGCTGTTTTTTATCTGTCTAAATCTCAGCCATTGTTTGATAGTTAGCAAAGTTTTGTATTAAGAATCGTTCTATGGTGATTACAAAAGAATTTTTTGGCGTTATTTTGAAATTGTTTGCCCGTGGAATTTTTTTACGTGGATTTACAGTGTCCGCTTATCAGCGGTCGTTGTAATGGCAGAGAGTTAACGACGGCTACTCCACAATGAGTGATGGAATCTTTGACGGAATCTTTCCTATAGTTCACAGAACCTTTTTGTTGAGTTATTTTAGAGGCTGCTGGCTCTTGGATTTTTTTTGTGCTCAAAGCTTAGTTCTGTTTTTCTCGGCGTGGCAGTGATTCGGCACGATCGAACAATTTCGCGCGATCAATGTGTGTTTCCTAAGATCAAAACACAGCCTTGATGTCTCTTGTTCTGTCAGATAAAATCAGTAGCGACAGACAAGTCTAATTGTCACTGATTTGAAACAGCCTTGATCTTTATCTTTGGTCTAGCGTGTTTTGTAGGTCGTTTATATATATTGTTGTTGAATTTTTGTTGGCGCTCTGTTTTTATGAACGGCATGCGTTTTTACTTGAAAACTACAAGTAAAATTGTCTTAACACTTTTATTCTTCATCTACTAGCATAACCAGAGAAGAAACGTTCCTTAAATTCTATCGAAATACCCAACTCGCTCGTTAACCTCTCTCTAAATTTCGGAGCCTTGGACGTCACAGAGAGCATGGAGAAAACAATAGAATTTTGACAGTTGAAAGTAATTTGCATAACCTCAGCGCGCATGCTCTCCAGCTGACATAGCCCCTTAATCTAAGAAAACAACAGCAACAACAACAACAAAAAGAAAGGGTAGAAAAGAATGACATGTAATTAAATTTGCAAGACTAAAACCACAGGCAGCCCAAGCGCACTATGTGTGGGTCCGGGCGTCAGAGGTCATTTGGTCGGAATATACTAGAATTATTAGTGCTTCTTGTTTGTTTGTCTGTAGTAGTAGCCTTTAAGATAACGAAGGTCGGTATTTCTTGCATTATTATATGAGATTCGGGTCCTTATTGTTCGAATTTTATCACATGTATTCGAATCTACGACGCTAAGAAAAAAAATCATAATCACGCAAAATGTTGATTCAAAAAGCTCCCTTACCTTTAGTTCATAGTCACTCTGTGTCCTACGACCGGTTTAAACGCCGTTTAGTTGACTTTCTTTCCATCGAGTACTGAACACTATAGTGTTCAGTAGTAATAATGCAAGAAATATCGACCTTCGTTATCTTAAAGGCTACTAGTACAGATAGACAAACAAGAAGACTTCATATCTTTAAGATTTTTGCATTTATTTGGCATCAAATATCACACTAATAATTCTAGTATATTCCGACCAAATGACCTCTGAAACCCGAACCCACAAATAATGCGCTTGGGCTGTCTGTGCTAAAACTAGCGACATTTTCGTGAAGAAAATGAAGTAGAAATGCCTACCAACTGACTGTTAAATTTGTTATACGTTATTACAATTCTCGTTGCTAATAGTAGGACTGGCTAGATGTACTGATGAATTAGTTTAGAGCTCACCGGTCAAGTTTCCAGTGGTGTGATCAAAGGAAGGTCCTGTACCACTAGAATGTGTGCTTCCTTTGTGTCGAGTCCAGTCAAACTTGTCATTATTGCCTTGCACGAAACCGCACATTGAAACATCAAAGTTGCATATTATTTCTAAGTTAGACAAAACAAATAAATTCTCATACTAAAAATTGAGCCTTTTTTCCTGGGGTCAACGATCACCTCAAAGGTATGATACGATCCTAGAAAGTACAATTACGCAGGCTGACCACGAGTTAGTTAAGAACGATGAGGCTTAACCTTAATTAACACCTAAGCGTAAATGCAAGCGTAATCAGGGAACGTGGTCTCCAAGTAATTTTGGAATTCGGGTCTTCTAAGTTGACTAGAAATGCATCCAAGAATGGCCCGGCCACTATATTTACTAGGAGGAGAGGTGCATAGTTTTCAAAATATTTGCGTTGAAGGGCTTAACTGCGGGCTTTATTTATTTATTTATTTATTTATTCATTCATTTTTTGCTTCAGGCGACCGAGGCGATTTATCACCGATTCCAAATTTAAGTGCACTTCCTTCTAGAAGTGAGTCATACCATAACACTGGTGACCATCTCCCGTGAATCCTGGCTGACAGCTGCAATTAAACTGTCCAGGGGTATTTATGCAAGTTGCATTTTGGTGGCAATCATGGCTACCGTTGCTGCATTCATCGATATCTGAATAGGATTAGTAAAAAAGAACAATTGGCAGAAGAAGTTCTCGTAAACTAAATTTCCTTAATACGAGAGATACAATTTACGAAATCAAGTGGACGTTTTTTTTGGAAGACTATAGCTGAGAGGAAAAACAAGGGTGTCGGGCAATATTTACACAGGTTGCATGCCTTTGGAAAGCTTATCTGCTATTGCAAAGAGACAGAAAAGAAAACAATGAAGTGTTTAAAAAAACGCGATTTTCGATCCATTATTAAGAAGTAAGATAAAAGGTGTATTGTGACACTGCGTGAATTTTTCGCCGAGTTGCCTTTTTTAAATTTATATTCAGATCATTGGAACTTAAGGAAAACTCGGACACTGTTTTCCCATTACATGTGCGGAAATTTGCGCTGTGTTGCCTTTCTTTCAAGTTTAAGTGCACTTCCTGCTAGAAGTGAGTCATACCATAACACTGGTGGCCATCTCCCGTGAATCCTGGTAGACAACTGCAATTAAAGTGTTCAGGGGTATTTATGCAAGTTGCATTTTGGTGGCAATCGTGAGTACCGATGCAGCATTCGTCGATATCTATATAACATGTGGAGAAAACATTATATAACATTAGGCCGGTTTCTGCATATTACAAATTTTAAATAAGCTACTCTTGCCCCATGGTATGGTTGAAGTGGGAACGCGAATTGTCTGTATAGAAATCTTTGAACACTGTTTCTCTGGGTTTCCAGGCGAGGCATTAGGTTCGAAAAAGGTCTGTGGGAACGGTGGTACGATCATGGTGCGCACATACCCTCCCATGGACCGCGTCCGGTCTGTTGGAGGGTTAAACAAGTGCTGGGGGGGACTAGGTACAGACAGTATAACACGATCGAATGACGGTTTGCTGGATTCTACAATATAAAAACAAAGGC